AAACAACTGCACCTCCCAGTCGCGAACCATTTCAACTCCCCCTCCCATTCCTCAGACGACATGTCCATCCTGGGCCTCCTGCAGTGCCACAACGATGCCACCCGAAGGTTGCAGGAACAGCAACTCATATTCCGCTTGGGAACCCTGCAGCCCAATGGTATCAATGTGGATTTCACAAGTTTCAAAATCTCCCCTCCCCCTACCGCATCCCAAAACCAGTCCAGCTCGTCCCTGCCTCCCTAACCTGTTCTTCCTCCCACCTATCCCCTCCTCCCACCTCAAGCCGCACCTCCATCTCCTACCGACCAACCTCATCCCGCCCCCTTGACCTGTCCGTCCTCCCTGGACTGACCTATCCCCTTCCTAACTCCCTACCTACACTCACCTTTCCTGGCCCCATCCCCGCCTCTTCGACCTGTTTGTTTCTTCTCCACCTATCCTCTCCTCCATCCCTCTTCTATCCGCCTCCCACTCTCTCCCTATTTATTTCAAAACCCCCTTCCCCTCCCCCTTTTCTGATGAAGGGTCTAGGCCCGAAACGTCAGCCTCTCTGCTCCTATGATGCTGCTTGGCCTGCTGTGTTCATCCAGCCCTGCACCTTGTTGTCTCGGATTCTCCAGCATCTGCAGTTCCTACTATCAGTGAAGGGAGGTATTTGGTATGATTGTCTTTATTGGTTAGTGCATTGTGTATAGGAGTTAGGAGGTCATGTTGTGGCTGTACAGAATATTGATTAGTCCACCTTTGGAATACCACGTACAATTCTCGTCTCCCTGGTATAGGAAGGATGTTGTGAAACTTGAAAGGGTTCAGAAAAGATTTACAAGGATGTTGCCAGGGTTGGAGGGTTTGAGCTATACAGAGAAGCTGAATAGGCTGGGGCTGTTTTCCCTGGAGTGTTGAAGGCCGAGGGGTGACCTTATAAAAGTTTATAAAATCATGAGGCGTATGGTCTTTTACCTGGGATGGGGGAGTCCAATATTAGAGGGCATAGGTTTAAGGTGAGCGGGGAAAGATTTAAAAGGGATCGAAGGGGCAATTTTTCACACAGAAGGTGGTGTGAGTATGGAAGAGGAAGTGGTGGAGACTGGTACAATTACAATATTTAAAAGGCATCTGGAATGGCACATGAATAGGAAGGGTTTAGAGGGATATGGGCCAAACGGTGCCAAATGGGACTAGATTAATTTAGGATATCTGGTCAGCATAGACCAGTTGGACGAAAGGGTCTGTTTCCATGCTATATACATCTATGACCAGTTCATACTATTCAATAATATCTGCACCAACTACTATGTTCTAGATGCTAGGGGCTGGTCACCTGTAAATTTCACTGCCTTCACCAATTGACATCCTCCTTTCACGCCTTTCTGAATTTCATCTAATGATTCATGAGGGGAAACGGTTGCATGGTAATAATGTCACTGGATGAGTAATCCATGGGTCTGAATCATGTTATTGGTAGATAATGAAATGTAAATGTAAATGTCAACACCCACAACCTGAGCTACAGATGTACTCCACAACCGTAGAAACCTACGGGCGCAACACGCTCAAATTGGCAAGAAAATGGGAAAAACAACCCACAAGCCTGGAAAATGGCAGAACAACACCCACAATCCGAGCTACAGATCTACTCCAAAGCCTTAGAAATGTGAATTGAATAAAATGTGAAATTAGATTAGACTAATGGTGACTGTGTG